CGGGGCTGGGTGTGGTGGGGGCAGAGCGGTCCCAGTGCCACCATCAGCCCAAGGGCCCCGCCCCCAAACCGAACAGGCCCGACTCCTTGCCGGTCCAGCCCGGGACCTGGAGCAGAGCAGGCCACGTGTCTGTCCTGCCCAGGCCCCTGGGCGGGTCACAGGCTCTGCTCAGTCTCAGAATAGCCGGCCTCCGAGTTGGCGCTTGGGCCCAGACTCTGCTCTTCTGTCTTGCCCCTGGGCTCCTCAGCCTCCTGCCTGGAGCTCCCAGGCGCCTGCTGGACAGCCACCAGCCCGCAGCAGGCCCCCAGGAAGGAGGCCGCCGGACCTCGGCCCCATGTGAGTGCGCGGCTGTCACAGCCAGCGGGTGGGCCTGCCTGCGGCCGGCTGCCTGGTGTCTGGCCACCCTCCCACCAGGGCCGGCCGCCTGGCCCTGCATTTGCAGCTTCCCAGCACAGGCCATCTGTGCCGGAACCTCCTGCCAGGAATCCCTGGAAGGCCGCTCCCCAGTCCGCTGGTCGGCCTACTGGTCAGCCGGCCGGTCAACGGGGGGTGGGGGCTGCAGCGTCCTCCACCTGCCACGCCTGACAGGTCCCATCCGGGTGTGGGGTGGGGTGGGTGTGGTTTGAGCCACTTTGCTGGTCCCCCCACCTCTGGTCCATCCAGTGTGGACAAGACGCTGCACACCAGCCGCGGGCCTGGGCCACTCGAATGCAAGCTGCGTGGGGATGGGCCAGAGCTGACTGCTGGCACCCGAAACTCGGGAGCCCCGGCCTCCGGGGGGAGCCCAGAAGCCCATTTCTTCCAACCTGCTGGGTGATGTGAGCCACCACCCAGCTTGGGTGGGCCTCCATTTCCATGCGTGTAGGCACAAGGCTGGCAGGAGCCCCCTGAGAGGCCCGGTGAGGGGCTGGGGGCATGGCTCTTGAGCTGCCCAGGCTGAGTCCCTGTCCTCACAGTCAGAGGGCTGCTCACTCTGAGCAGGACAGACAGACCAGGGCTGAGGGCTGTTCCGGGATGGGGTGTGGGTTTGGCCTGAGCAGTCCTGGGGCTCATGGCCTAACCCCAGGGTCCTTCTGAGGCCGGGGTCCTGGGAGCCTCAGGGCCCCTAGGCCTGCCCAGGGCTTGACACCTTCCTGTGCCCTGGGCTAAGCATCCATGGCCCCTCCGCTGTGCCCAGCCCTCCCCGCCAGCCGCCCGCTGAAGGAATGAATGGCTGAACAGGAGCGGGTGTGTAGGGGGCGGATGCCTCGTCTGCCCCTGCCCAGGGCTCGCGAGCTTGTTAGCGGGGCCATCGCCGTGTGAGCTTTTGGTGGTGTCCCAGCTCCTGGCCCCCACCCAGCCCTCCCCTGCTCCTCAGAGCAGCGTCCCACGGGCTTGGCCGCCAGCTCCACCACGGGGCCACCAAGGGGCCTCGAGCCACAGCTGGTGGGCACCCACCACGTGCCACCCGCAGCCACACACGTGGGCTTACAGCACAGGGCCATCTTCTCTGGGTGACGTGAGTGATGGGTGTCGGCCAGAGTCGGACTCAGCAACACCAGCCCTGATCGCTGGCACCACTGAGTTAGGGTAGGAAGGCAGGGCCAAGGGCGAGGGTCCTCGCTCACTTAATCCTCTGAAAACCAAGGCTTAGCCGGGTTTGGGGGCTTCCCTGGCGGCTCAGATGGTAAAGAATCCGCCTGCAATGCAGGAGACCTAGGTTCAATCTTGGGTGGGGAAGATTCCCTGGAGGAGGGCATGGCAACCCACTCTAGTATTCTTGCCTAGAGAATCCCATGGACAGAGGAGCCTGGCAGGCTACAGTCCATGGGGTCACAAAGAGTCAGACATGACTGAGCGACTCAGCACAGCACAGCCAGACTTTACAGGGGAGAACCCGAGGTACAGAGGTACAGTTTTGATTTCTACACAGTTGCAGCAGCCCTGCCAGTCACCCTCAGGATGCCAGGGGCAGGCGGATCCTGTCACTGCCTGTTCCCCAGGTGAGGTGGCTGAGGCTTAGATGGGTGGAGCCAGGCAGGTGAGGAACAGGGCCAGACGGTCCATGGCCCCCGGTGGCCATTTCCTTCAGGAGCCTTGCTGAGCCAGGAGCACACCTCCGCTGAGTTACAGCCACCACCTTAAACTTCAGGTTACAGGGAAAGCTTGCAACCTGAATTCTGTGGTGGGAGAAGTGGGCAACCACAGCTCATGGAGGCAACGGACTTCCCTGGCAGTCCGGTGGTGAAGATGCCATGCTTCTATTGCAGGGGACACAGATTCGATCCCTGCTCAGGAAAGATCCCCCATGCCACACGGTGCAGCCAAAAAAACCCAAAACAACGAAAAACCAAAAAGTGGAGACGGCTCTGTGGATTTCCCCAGCACCCAGGCTCAACTTCCCAGGCCAGGCCTGTCTGGGTGTCCATAGCTGCCCGGGCGAGGAGGCTGACAGGTGATGTGGGTTTCTCGTCCACATCAGTTACTAGGAGCAGTTACTAGTCCACTAGTTACTGGGAGTAACTGGTCACAGGCCAGCCATCCTGACCCCTGGGTCTGGGGAGGGGTGCCCAAGTGGAGGGCACAAGGGGTGGGACCCTCCTTGAGGCTTCGCTATGCAGGCAGGAGGGTGAGGGGGCATGTGGTCCCTCGGAACACGTGGGCACCACTCCGGGGCGTCTGCCCCTGACCTGGCCCCGGCCCAGCTCGGGTTATCTGAGCCCCTCCTTCACAGAGAAGGCATTTGACCAGCTCCCCATAGGGGCCCTCAGGAACTCCACTGGCTTGGCCCCAGGCAGCACCTACAGAGGGGGCTGGGGTTCAGGTCCAGTGGGGTACACTGGGGTGCAGTGGGGTATGCAGAGGTGCAGTGCAGTGTGCTGGGCTGCACGGGGTGTATTAGGGTGCCATGTGCAGTGGGGTGTGCTGGGGTGTAGTCTACACTGGGGTACACAGGGTGCAGTGATGTGCTCAGGGGCATACTGGGGTACTAGGAGCCGTGCGGGCTTCCCCGGTGGCTCAGATGGTGTAGACTCTGCCGGCAATGCAGGAGACCCAGGCTGGATCCCCGGGTCAGGACGATCCCCTGGAGGAGGGCATGGCAACCCACTCCAGTATTCTTGCCTGGAGAATCCCTTGGACAGAGGAGCCGGGCGGGCTACAGTCCATGGGGTTGGAAAGAGTCGGACACGACTGAGTGACTTACGTTCATGAGGAGTACGCTGGGCTGTGATGTACGGTGCGTGTGCTTGGGTACAGCGGACAGTGGGGTACACAGGGGTGTGCTGGGTGCAGTGGAGTGTGCCGGGGTGGGGTGACCATCGGGTGCACTGGGGTACGGGCCCATCCCCCCTCACAGAGGCCTCGCAGAGATGTGCCGGGGTGTACGGCGTGCAGGGGTGCTCTGGGCTTGGACCCTGCTCTGTGGGAGGCCTGTCCTGCTGCCCCGCTGACCACGCTGCATCCGGACCTGAGGGTGGGGAGGCCCACACCACCGTCGCTCCCCCTTCCTGAGCCCTGTGACCAGGGGCGGCCGCTGTGGTCAGGCTGGGGCCCCCCAGCCTGCGGAGGTCAGGAAGGTGATGGCTCTGCCCACGGCACCTCCCTTGGGTCCACCACCCGGGCAGGTGCAGACGGCTGCTGCCGGCACGTCAGGTCTGTTTCACGTGCTTTGGGTCGAACAGGCTTTGGGGAGCAACGAATATTTTAAATACTTCTCGAAGATGATGGGGTCACCAGCCCCTGGCAGAGCAGTGTCATGAAACTTTCAAGGTGACAGAGGCATTAATTTCTGAATTGATCTGAGCTGGAGCCTGGTCAGAGGGGGAGGATGTTCAGAGCCCCCGCTCTGAATGGGAGCAGGGGCTGGGGCCAGCGTGCGCCTCACCTCTGCCTGTGGACCACTGTCCTGCATCCCAGCGGCTCAACTGTCACCTCTTCCATGCAGCCCTCCAGGATTCCTTGGGCAGCACAACTCTGCCTCCAGGGTGCTGGGTCTCCCTGCCTCCTCTCTCTGTGCGTGTCATGACCATCACACAGAGCCGTGGGTGAGCCGCTGCCTCACCTGGACGGTCTTGTCCCACCTCCACAGCATCCCTGAGGGTGGCAGGGCTCACCTGCACCTGACATCTGGGTATCTCGGGCCAGGCCCTTCCGACCCAAAGCCTCGCCCCAAATCCCAGGCTGCCGGTGCCTCTGGTCAGGGGGGCAGGGAATGGCGATGATGCCCGCGGGCCGCTCTGGGGTCCTGAGACCAGCCTCCGTTGCGGCTGAGGCAGCCTGGAATAGAAGCTGTGTGGGGGCCAGCAGGTGCCAGCCCAGGGCAAGACAGTCCCAGCCCCAGACCCACTTCCGGGAGGAAGGCAATGCTAGACCCTTCCTGCGCAAGAACCTGGCGGCAGGGCTGTGGCCATCCTGCCTGCGGTCAACGTTAGAGTTCTCACTGTGGTGGAACAAGACGCCCTGGCTGGCCACAGCGGGCCTGCGCCTAAGGTGGGGGCAGCAAGCGTCCTCCCAGGCCCCACCTCGCTCTGGGTGACCAGATGGCCGTTCCCCATCTGCCTCCCCATTCAACAGGCTGCTCCTGCCCGTCCATGCGGTCTGCTCCCCGGAGGCTGGGCGCCCACCCAGGGGCTCAGGGTATCTGAGGATTGTCCAGGACAACGGCTGCAGCTGGAGGGGCCCCACTGCCAGCCCTGACCATCCCACGGGCTGCAGCGGGCCTCCAGGCACAGCCACCAGGGGCCCCCAGAAAAGCACCCGGCCATCAGCTTCTGGAACATTCTGTACAAAGCATATGGTGTGTTTTGAGCCGAGGGCCGGCCACTCAGGCCACCTGTGGTCCTGGCAGCCGCCATGACGGCCCAGGCTGGGGGCCTTGACTGTGTGCATCTGCGGGGCCTGGAGGGCCCCGGGCGCTGGGAGGGAGGCAGCCGGCCGGAGGGTCAGCTGGGGGCACGTGGGGGTGTGGGGCTTTGGGCTGGAGGCCCCTGGCCCCAAGCCCACGCCTTCCTGCCCCGCAGGGTCCAGGTGGAGTTCTACGTCAACGAGAACACCTTCAAGGAGAGGCTTAAGCTGTTCTTCATCAAAAACCAAAGATCCAGTGAGTGGGGTCTGTGGAGGGGCAGGGCAGAGGGGCTGTGTTGGAGTGGGCGGGGCGATGGGCGTGTTCCTTATCTCAGCTCCTTGCCACCTTCCAGGGTGGGAGATGCTGGGACCCTGGAGGGGTGCCCCCCTCCTGGAGGCAGGGCCAGCCACGGCTCAGCCCCCCAGCCCACGCGGCTCCCTGGCACCACCGTGTGGCCCTCCCCTTTGCTCTGTGGGCTCCCTCCAGCTGCCTTCCCAGCAGGAGCCTGGCCACCTGGGATGCAGGATGGGGTGCAGAGGTGGTGCCTGTGGATTCTGGTCCATCGATCTGTAGCTTGCTCCCCCAACCCCCAGGCCCACCCCCAGGGCCAGCAGCTCAGGGACACTCTGCACCTCGTCCCTGAGGTGGGAGGGCATGGAGCCTCTCGGAGGCCAGCCTGGCAGAGCCCCCCCAACGCAGAGCCACCTGGTCAGTGTTGGCCGGGACAGCCAGGTACAGCGGCCCAGGTGCAGAGTCCCAGCCACTCCAGGAGCCCTGACCGCTGCCTCCCCCACCTACCCCCACCCACAGGCCTGAGGATCCGGCTGTTCAACTTCTCCCTGAAGCTGCTGACCTGCCTGCTCTACATTGTCCGCGTCCTGTTGGATGACCCAGCCCTGGGGATCGGATGGTGGGTGACCCGTGGGCCGGGGGCCGGGCCTTCCTGGTGCCGTGACAGAGGCTGCTGGGGTTTGCACGGGGGTCTGTGTGTGGGACACGCCCCCCAGAGCCGTGGCCGGGACACAGCCCTCAGGCTGGTGCTGACACTGGGTGTCCTTGTCGTGGACGGCGGCTGCCCTTGCAGCTGCACCCAGACGGAGCTCTCCCAGAGGGTCTGGGATGCCCCCTCCCTGCCCACCCAGTGGCGCCTGGGGGTCTCGGCGAGGGGCTCTGGCTCCCCCAGCTCCTCCTGGGTGGGTGGGGGTAGCAGGCCTCAGAGGAGGTGAGCCCCTTTCTCTGGGCTCGCCCGCTTCCCCCTGCCCCTCCTGGCCCTGGGGCCTCTCCGTTTACATGGAACACCAGCCGCGGGGCTTCCCAGGGGGGCCATGGGCACAGTGCCCGCGCCTCCCGATGCCCGAGAGCCCACCACTGGACGAGGTGCTTCCCGCCTTGTGTTGTCCAGAGGGCCGCGTGCTCCTGCTCGTGCTGCTGGTGGGAAGCAGTCTTCTGCCCTGGAAGCTGGTGGGGCTGGCTCTCTGTGCCCATGTCTGGCACGTCTCAGGGACGCCTGGCGTGATCCCTTCTCAGCACCACGTTGGTCCTGGTAGACACTGAGCTGGGGGCGCGCAGGGCTGGGCTCGTCTGCAGCTGGGTCTGCATCTGCCCTGGGAGCCTCTCTTGACTCCCTCATACCCAGATCGGGGTTCCAGAAGGTTCTGGAATGGCCCTCTCTCCTGTTTCTCCTTTCTCCTGGGGCTGCCTCGGCTTCCTCTCCAGCTCTCTAGCTGAGGTTTTCACTTCTGCTCCCACGTTTTGTTATTTCCAAGAACTCTTCTTCATCTTCATGCGTCAGCACCGCTGCAGGTGTCCTGCATCTCTGGGGTTTGTCTGAAACGCTTTCCTTTCTTATATGTTCCTCTTCTGCTTGGTCTCTGGGCTTGCGGTCAGGGGACTTCCTCAAATGTCCCGCCACTCTATGTCAAATGTCCCAACACTAACGGTGGGTGTCCAGAGGCTGAGGGCCCTGCATTCAGGGTGTGGTCCGTCACTTGTCTCCCCAGCTCCTCAGAGCAGATCCTTCCCCTCCTCACTGGAGGATAGAGCCTGGCCACTGGGCTCCTCCTGTCTGAGTTGGGAAAGAGGCAGGGGTGAAAAGTCGCTGTGCAAGATTGCATCTTGCCCACCCCCACGTGCAGTGGGGCGGAGTCGCCAGGCCAGACTCTTTCACCTGCTCCTGAGAACAGATGTTGTCTTCATCCTGAGTGTGGGAGGGCAGGTCCCACCATGGTGGTTTGAGAAGGGCTCTAACTGACTCTGAGAGCACTTTTCTGGGTTCATCTCACCTTCTCCCACCTCCAGAGACATCGAGGCATCTGGCTTTACATCCTCAGGGAGACCAGGTCTGTTGTATTCATTGCACAGAACCTGGCACATGGTGGGTGGGTGGGAGAGCAAATGGACGGATGGGGGCTGGTAGAGGCGTGGGTAGAGTGGATGGATGGGTAGTGTGTGGATGGATGATGGTGGATGGATGGATGGTGGAGGGTGAATGGATGGAAGATGGACGGATGGATGGATGGGTAGGGGGTGGACAGATGATGGTGGATGGATAGAGGCTGGATGGGTGGACAGATGGATGGATGGGTGGATAGAAGGGTGGATGGTGGGTGATATAAGGACACTGGATGTGGATAGATGGATGGATGGGTCAGATGGATAGGATAGATGGGTGGGTGGGTGGTGGATGGATGGAAGGGTGGCTCGCGACTCCTATAGGTATTGAGTTTGCAACAACAGGCTCAGGTGCAGGAGGAAGTGGGCCAACTGAGAAAAAAGGGGGAGGGAGCCCCCTGTCACTGTGGGACGCCATGAGAGTGAGGTCCCGTAGCTCGGCGACCCTGCCCCTGGTTATGATCTGAGGCAGAACTAGCACGGCGGCCAGGCCCCTGCCACCTTCCCAGTGGTGGGCATCCCGGGGGCTTGGGGAAGCTCCTCCTCAGGAGTGACTTAGGGAACGTGCTTCTTAGAGGCAGCACACGGGACGGGAGCATGGCTTTCTCTCCGTCACATGCATGCTGTTCAGCCTCGTTTCGGCAGCTCTGGCCTCCGGGAGGCCCTGAGGGCGCCAGGTTCATCTCTGGCCGCGCACATCCCTTCCCCTGCCGGCAGCCCAGGTGGAACCCCCAGCCCCCTGCCCCTCCCCCTCTCCAGAGGCCCGCCCCCTCAGAGACCCTCCCCTGCCCCTCCCCCTCAGAGACCCTCCCCCTCAGAGACCCTCCCCCCCAGAGATTCTCCTCCTCTGTTCAGTTCAGTCACTCAGACTCTACGATCCCACGGACTGCAGCACGCCAGGCCTCCCTGTCCATCACCAACTCCCGGAGTCCACCCAAACCCATGTCCATTGAGTCGGTGATGTCATCCAACCATCTCATCCTCTGTCATCCCCTTCTCCTCCTGCCCTCAATCCCTCCCAGCATCAGGGTCTTTTCCAATGAGTCAGCTCTTCACATCAGGTGGCCAAAGTATTGGAGTTTCAGCTTCAGCATCAGTCCTTCCAATGAACACCCAGGACTGATCGCCTTTAGGATGGACTGACTGGATCTCCTTGCAGTTCAAGGGACTCTCAAGAGTCTTCTCCAACACCACAGTTAAATAGCATCAATTCTTAGGCGCTCAGCTTTCTTTTATAGTCCAACTCTCACATCCATACATGACTCCTGGAAAAACCATAGCTTTGACCAGATGGACCTTCATTGGCACAATAATGTCTCTGCTTTTTAACATACTGTCTAGTTTGGTCATAACTTTTCTTCCAGGGAGCAAGCATCTTTTAATTTCATGGCTACAGTCACCATCTGCAGTGATTTTGGAACCCCCCCAAAATAAAGTCTGTCACTGTTTCCACTGTTTTCCCATCTATTTGCCATGAAGTGATGCGACTGGATGCCATGATCTTAGTTTTCTGAATGTTGAGTTTCAAGCCAACTTTTTCGCTCTCCTCTTTCATTAATAGACTCTTCAGTTCTTCACTTTCTGAGGTAAGGGTGGTGTCATCTGCATATCTGAAGTTATTGATGTTTCTCCCAGTGATCTTGATTCCAGCTTGTTCTTCTTCCAGCCCAATGTTTCTCATGATGTACTCTGCATATAAGTTAAATAAGCAGGGTGACAGTATACAGCCTTGACGTACTCCTTTTCCTATTTGGAACCAGTCTGTTGTTCCATGTCGAGTTCTAACTGTTGCTTCCTGACCTGCATACAGGTTTCTCAAGAGGCAGGTCAGGTGGTCAGGTATTCCCATCTCTTTAAGAATTTTCCAGTTTGTTGTGGTCCACACAGTCAAATGCTTTGGCATAGTCAATAAAGCAGAAGTAGATGTTTTTCTGGAACTCTCTCGCTTTCTCGATGATCCAGTGGATGTTGGCAACTTGATCTCTGGTTCCTCTGCCTTTTCTAAATCCAGCTTGAACATCTGGAAGTTCACAGTTCACGTACTGTTGAAGCTTGGATAATTTTGAGCATTACTTAGCTAGTGTGTGAGATGAGTGCAATTGTGCAGTAGTTTGAGCATTCTTTGGCATTGCCTTTCTTTGGGATTGGAATGAAAACTGACCTTTTCCAGCCCTGTGGCCACTGCTGTTTTCCAAATTTGCTGGCATGTTGAGTGCAGCACTTTCACAGCATCATCTTTCAGGATTTGAAATAGCTCAGCTGGAATTCCATCACCTCCACTAGCTTTGTTCGTAGTGATGCTTTCTAAGGCCCACTTGACTTCACATTCCAGGATGTCTGGCTCTAGGTGAGTGATCACACCATCATGATTATCTGGGTCGTGAAGATCTTTTTTGTGCAGTTCTTCTGTGTATTCTTGCCACCTCTTCTTAATATCTTATGCTTCTGTTAAGTCCCTACCATTTCTGTCCTTTATTGAGCCCATCTTTGCGCGAAATGTTCCCTTGGTATCTCTAATTTTCTTGAAGAGCTCTCTAATCTTTCCCATTCTATTGTGTTCCTCTATATCTTTGCATTGATCACTGAGGAAGGTTTTCTTATCTCTCCTTGTTATTCTTTGGAACTCTGTGTTCAAATGGCTATATCTTTCCTTTTCTCCTTTGCCTTTCACATCTCTTCTTAGCTATTTATGAGGCCTCCTCAGACAACCATTTTGCCTTTTTGCATTTCTTTTCCTTGGGGATGGCCTTGATCCCTGCCCCCCTCCCCAGAGACCCTCTTCCCCAGAGACCCTCCCCTGCCCCTCCTCAGAGATTCTCCTCCTCGGAGACCTTTCCTACAGCCTCTGCGGGTTGGGCACAGGCTTAGTGTTAGAATTCAGATGCCCATCTGAGATGTGGGGCCTGGCCCTGGGTTGGGGAGAGTGCCCCCCACACGCCCTGAGCCCGTCGCAACCCTGGAAGGGTCTGGTCCCTTTGGGGGCGGTGCCGGGAGGGGCTGCGGCGGCCAGCTCTGTCTCTCCACAGCTGGGGCTGCCCGAAGCAGAATTACACCTTCAATGAGTCGTCCTCCGAGATCAACTGGTGAGTGTGCCTCCCAGCTCCCGCTCAGAGGTCCGGGGCAGGGCGGGGTGGCCAGAGGGTGACGCTGCCCAGGCCCCCGGGACAGATGCCCAGTCACAGCCAGAGAGCCTCCTGGGATCCCCGGCACCTGGCCGAGCAGTAAGAACACTGGGGCGGCCCCGCAGGGTACAGCCCCTGAGGCCCTGGGAGCAACCTAAGGCTGACAGCGGGTGTCACCAGGAGCCGGCTTGGCCCAGCGCCCTTCTGTGATGCCCTCCAGCCCCAGGGGCCCTGGGTGAGAGGAGACAGACAGGCAGGACCTGCCAGAGGGTCGGCGGCGGCCTCTGCGATCCATGAGCCTTCGGCCAAAGAGAGCAGGTGCCGCGGTCAGGCAGTGAGAGGTGCCCCCAGAGCGGCGGGGGCGCCTGGGCCGAAGGTTAGGACGAGCTCCAGGGCCTTGGCCACCCCCCTGATGGAGGCATCTCCCTTCCAGCCTCCCCACACCCACAGCCCCCTCTCGGCCGTACTCCCTCACCCACGCCCCTCCCCTGGCACCCCGGCCCAGCCTTGCGGGTGCGTCCTGGCGCTCCACAGCAGCAGGATGGATCTGCCAAGCCCCGGCCACTCTTCCCAGCCCGGTCACCTGTCCCTGGGAGGCAAGAGGATCAGGATCGCAGGGACACGTAGGGACACGCCAGCCCTCCCTTCACACCGGGCCCTGGAAGCCCTTCCTTTCTGGCCCAGTGGGGGCAGGGCAGCTTCTGAGCCCAGCCCAACTCCCGCCCAAAGGAAGGCCTGGGGCTTTCTGTCTGTCCTTTGGTGGAGAAAGTCGCTACCGAGACCCGGCTGCAGCCGGGGCCCCCGAGGGTCGGGCCTTGGCCGTCTGTGCCTGGGGAGGGTGGGCAGGGTCAGCGCGTAGCTCGGCCGTCTGGCCCCACCTGCTGGTCTCACCCCGACCGTTGTCCAGAGGCTGCGTCCGGGCAGGGACGCCCCTCCCCCATGTCAGTCCCCTCAAGGGTGCCACGTGGGTCATAGGCAAGGAAGGACCTGAGGTCGGGAAACCCGAGAGCGTGGACGACCAGCACAGCCCCCGTGCAGGGCACAGGAACCTGGACGAGACACAGGGGCCGCCGGGGGCCGCCAGGCCTCTCCCCAGAGCAGCCTGCTCAGGCCCTGGTCTCACAGGCCCCTCCCCGAGGCCTCCTTTCTGGAGGAGCCGCCCTTCCCCTCCTGCTCTCAGCCCCTGGAGGGCAAGGCTGCCGCCCACTGTCCAGCTCGAGGAGCAGCCTGGGAGCGGGGGAGGCCCGGACGGCTGGGGACTCCCAGACTGGGGCTCACCTCCCTCTCTCCCCAGGGCCCCCATCCTGTGGGTGGAGAGGAAGGTGGCTCTGTGGGCCGTTCAGGTGAGTGGGGCACGGCGGGGGGCGGCGCGGCTCCGGGTGGGCCCTGCTGCCCCCTGGCCCTACTCAGAGGCTCTGTTCCCGCCCTACCCCAGGTCATCGTGGCCATCATCAGCTTCCTGGAGACCATGCTTCTCATTTACCTCAGCTACAAAGTGAGTGCCCCCAGGTCTGGCCCTACCCCGGAGCCCCCCTCCGCCGGCCCCCTCCCCCAGCCCCTTGCACCATCCCCCCGCACCATCCCCCCAGCCCCCGGTCTCACCCCCCAACCTCCCACTGGCTCAGTTTGTCTCTCTCCTCAGCCCACCCCCACCCCAGTGCCCCCTCCCTGCCATCCGCTCTGAAGCCCACCCCCTTGGCTCCCCAGGGCAACATCTGGGAGCAGATCTTCCGCGTGTCCTTCATCCTGGAGATGATCAACACGCTGCCCTTCATCATCACGGTGGGTGAGCCGCCGGCCGAGGCGGGGGCCGCTGAGACCTCCGCCCCCTGACCCGTCTCCTCCGCAGATATTCTGGCCGCCGCTGCGGAACCTATTCATCCCCGTGTTTCTGAACTGCTGGCTGGCCAAGCACGCCCTGGAGAACATGATTGTAAGCCCCCACCCCCTGCCCCCCGCCCCCACCACTGCCTCACCTCTGTGAGGTTCCCTAGGACCCCGGGGCACCACTTGCCACGCCCTGGTCCTGGGGGGAGCTGGCCTGCTCCCTTGGTGCCCAGGAGGCCGGGTGAGCAGCAGACACACGTGTCTGTCACCACGAGATGCCCTCACGCCTGTTCCTGACTGGCCGGAGCCCCATCCCTGATGCCCCAGGGACAGTCACCCTGGCCTGTCCCTGACCCCGGAATCATGGCTAGGGGAGGAAGAGGGTGAACATACACGTGAGATTGGGTGGGCCCTGAGACCCAGGGTCACGGGCAGCCCCTGTGCTGAGCAAGGACCATTTCCTCCCAGGGAGCCCCTCGCCACACACCTACCAGCCCAGGCCTTGTCTCACCAGCCCCCCCAACCCAGCTGCGAAGGGCGGGGTCAGGGCTGAGGTCACGGCCTCTGGCCTATACATGGCGGGAGCAAGAGAGCTGAGGCCGGATGGAGCCCTTCCCCTTCTCTCTCACCTGTGTGTGTCCGGGACCTGCGGCGGGAAGGGCCCTGGGCTCCGTCCCGCCCAGGCTGAGCGCCGCGTCCCACCCCGCAGAACGACTTCCACCGCGCCATCCTGCGCTCGCAGTCGGCCATGTTCAACCAGGTCCTCATCCTCTTCTGCACCCTGCTGTGCCTGGTCTTCACCGGGTGAGTCCCTGCAGGCGGCCACCCGCCCGTCCCGGGCAGGGCCGGGCCCTCGCATCCAAGAGGCCGGGCGGGCCTCAGGGTGGCAGGAGGCAGCCCGACCGGGACGGAGGGCCAGGAGGCAGCTTGGACCCCACGTTCCAGACCAAAGCTGCCCAAGTCCAGCTCCTCCAGGGGACTCCTCCGGGGTCCAGGACGCGGCGTGGGGAGGGCACCGGCTCTCGGCCGAGTGGGGACCCTGGGCTCAAGGCCTAGCTGAGGATAAGGTCTGGGAGCCGCCAGAGTGAGAGGTGGGGGGCCTGGAGGGGAGACCCCGTCCCCCTGCATGCCTGCCCCAGGCCAGGACAGGGCAGGCCCCAAGGCCACGTGCCTCCTACCCTCCCTCCCCCCTGCCAAAAAAAACACACAGACCTGAGTGGAGCAGGCTGGGGTGGGAAGCTCCAGGGTGATTCAGCCCACACCCTCCCCGCAGCCAGCGTGTCCGCTGGGGAGGGTCCCTGTGTGCTGCCGCGTGTGTGCACTGTGGGCCCCCAGGCCCTGCCAGCAGTGCCTCCCTGCCTGGGGACAGAACATGGGGCCACGGGAGTGGCAAGGAGGCCGGTCCAGCTCTGTGCAGGGCAGGGGGCTGCGTGTGCCCCATGCGTCTCACCCCTGGGTGAGGATGAGGCTCTGAGTAGGCTGCAGGTGGGGCTCACAGCCTGGGTGGCCACATCTGCCCCCTCAGACCTCAAGCTCACACTGAGCCCACGCAGGGCTGTGTGGGCTCACGGCCAGTTTTCCAAGGGCCTCAAAAGAGCCTCGGGGCCGGAAAGGAAGGTCGGGTAGGAGGGACGTGCTGGGTGTGCCAGCTCTGTCGGCCAGCTGGACTCAGGCCCAGGCTGGGGTCTGTGTGGGTGACGGCGGACAAGGAGCCACAGGCAGGGAGAGCCTCACTCTGGGAGCTGGGTGGCTGAGGCCCCACCGCCGCCCCTCCCCGGCTCTAGGACCTGCGGCATCCAGCATCTGGAGCGTGCGGGTGACAACCTGTCCCTCCTGACGTCCTTCTACTTCTGCATCGTCACCTTCTCCACCGTGGGCTACGGGGACGTGACGCCCAAGATCTGGCCGTCCCAGCTGCTGGTGGTCATCATGATCTGCGTGGCCCTGGTGGTGCTCCCGCTACAGGTAAGCTCCGCCCAGGAGCAGAGCCGACGGGGGCGGGGGATATGGCTTCCTGGGGGGGTTCTGTAATCAGGGAGGCTGCTGCATCAGGACAGGGCGGGGAGGGGGGGGGAGTGGCGCTCTCAGACGGCTCCCCAGGACCTTTGCTGAGTGTGGAGAAGGAGGGGTGCCAGGGTCTCCCGCAGGCTGGGAATCAGGAGTCCTCAGCCGGTGCAGCAGCAGCTGTGTGGACCACGTGGCACACAGCCACTTCCTGTCTCCTGTCACCTGTCACCAAGGCCGATCTGCCAGCTGAGCATTATGGGGGCAGTGCGGGACTCCAGCTGTGTTTAGATAAAAGGTAGAGGCCCAGAGTCGGGGCCAGGCAGCTGTAGGCACTGCCCCCTGCAGCCTTTAAGGGGGCAGGAAAAGGTCCAGGGAAGGATCAGGACAGACTGTGGGGAGCCAGACCTCATGGTGGACACTTGGGGGTTGGAGGGATGGGGGCAGGGGAGGCACCTAACTGTGGCTATAATGGGGCCCAGTCCACCCAGGGAGTCCTCTGCTGACCTTGAGCTCAACTCCTCACCCCCATTCCCACCCCCACTCTATAGCTCAGAACCCCAGCCCCAGCTGACACCCTCTGTTCCCCACTTCCCCCAATCCAGGGCACAGTATGCCGGCCAGGAAAGCCAGTGTCACCCTCTATCAGTGATGAAAAGGATGGTCCCAGCTACCATTCGGCATTCTTCTTTTTTTTTTTATTTACTATTTCTTTATTTGGAGGCACTGGGTCTTAGTTACAACACGTGGGTTCTTCGATCTTCACTGTGACATGCAGGATCTTTAGTTGTGGCATGCGCGATCTAATTCCCTGACCAGGGATCAAACCTAGGCCCCACTGCACTGGGAGCTTGGAGTCTTAGCCACTGGATTGCCAGGGAAGCCCCTGTCCTTCATTCTCCCTTAAACCACGTTCACCAGTTAGTGTCCTTAGAGATGATGACAGTGAAAACGGCCACTGGTAAATGTCCCTCCCAGAGTAACAGTGACAACAGCCGACAGCATCCTCCCCACTCGGGGCTGAGCTGTCATGTGGCGCTTCCTGTGGCTGTTGGAGCGAGGCACCCCACACATGCAGGGCGGGGGCCTGAGCCAGAGGAATCTACTCTCTTACCGGCTTCTCCAGTGCCTCAGTGGTCAAAACTCCCCCTGCAATGCAGGAGACCCCAGTTCAATTCCTGGGTTGGAAAGATCCTGGGTTGGGAGAAGGGAAAGGCTACCTACTCTAGTATTCTGGCCTGGAGAATTCCATGGATTGTATAGTCCATGGGGTCGCAAAGAGTCAGACGCGACTGAGCAACTTTCACTTCGCTAATTCTGTTTGATCTCATCTTAATGCATTACATCTGCAAAGACCCTATTTCCACATAAGGTCACATTCGGAGGTTCTGGGTGGACAGGATTCCAGGGGTCATTGTTGGATCCTCTACAAATAGGCCTTTTGCCCCTCACTGCAGCCCTGAGAGGCAGGCACTGTCGGGCCATTTTGCAAATGAGCTGTGCACCTGTGACACGTGGGGCTGGAACCCAAGTGTCTGCCATCGGAGCCCCGACTCTGCACAGGTCTCAGGGATCACCCTGGGGTCTCTGGCCCCTCCCAGCAGGACCCAGTTCTGTGCTTCAAGGCCACAGGGTCTTGTTAGTAGAACCTAATAGGTACTCAATAAATTCAGTGAGATGATCTCAATCTAGATATAATACATGGACCAGAGCAGGTGAGCATGAGTGGGGATGGCTGCTGGCACTGATTTTAAATCACGTGGGAAAAATAAATGAGCTCAGTGCTTGGGATGAAAACAGTCAGGGACTTTCGTGGGACCTGGCTGTTACCTACAGACATGGAATCAGACCGCAGAGGGAGGCCCTGGGTGGGTCAGCACCGCTGACAGCTCCGCGGGGCCCTGGCATCTCCCTCACTCACCCTGCCCACCTTTATGTCTCTGTCATTGTACTGTTTTTAAATAGGGTTGCCAACACCCAAAGCTCATTGTCAGGAGGTTTGGGTCAGGGTAGATGCAGGCTGCTGCCTCGAATCACCCACGACCTTGACTTGGGCTTAGAACCACGGTACTCAAAGTGTTCCTTTCACATGGGGAGTCTGGGTCCCTAATTCTGTGGCTGAGAATTCCCTAAGACGCATCCAAGTTTCTCCAAATGTGTCTCAGGTGTGGACAGAGACCCAAAGGTCAGGTCATGTAGTTACCTGGATGTCCAGAGTACATGCTTTAGCATCCACTAACGGTCAGTTGGCCATCTGAGGCCGGGAGCTGGACCTGCTGCAAATCTGCTACCCCATACACGAGCCAGACCATCCACTGTACTCCTACCTGGCCCCTTGGGTTACTTGTGCCACAAACATCCAAGGCCTTCTGAGACATGGTCGGGACGGGGCTCCATCCTCACCCTGCCTCCTCTGGCCTGCTCTGGTCTCCACCCTTCGTGCCTAGCACGGGCTGGTTATCAGCCTTCTTGCCCTGCCCTGTGCTGTCGCAGTTCCTGGAGCCCCAGGTCACCTGGCGCTCACACGGTTTATCTGCAGTTTGAGGAACTCGTCTACCTGTGGATGGAGCGGCAGAAGTCGGGGGGCAACTACAGCCGCCACCGGGCCCAGACGGAGAAGCATGTGATCCTGTGCGTGAGCTCCCTCAAGATCGACCTGCTCATGGACTTTCTGAACGAGTTCTACGCGCATCCACGGTTGCAGGTGAGGCCCCGCCCATGGCCCACCCCGCTGCAGCGAGGCCCCGCCCACGGTCCCACCCACGACTGCGCTGTGGCCCCGCCCATGGCCCCGCCCACAGCCCCATCCGGACCCAGAACCCCCTGAGCTCTCTGGGCCTCTGTTTTCCTGCCTATGGGGTGGAGTCTGGATGGTCTCCCACATTGTAGGGGGTGGGTCTGTGCTGTCCTGCGTTTCCTTCCTGCCGTCACAGAGAAGGCTGGGGGTCCCGAGAGGCTATACGGAGGTGAAAACAGTAGGAAGGCAGGATGGGCAGGGCGCCGGCGAGCTTGCCAGGCGGCTAACGGTGCCCTGCCTGCAGGACTATTACGTCGTCATCCTGTGCCCCACGGAGATGGACATCCAGGTTCGCAGGGTCCTGCAGATCCCCCTGTGGTCCCAGCGGGTCATCTACCTCCAGGGCTCCGCTCTCAAGGACCAGGACCTCATGCGGGCCAAGTGAGAGCCCGGCTGTGGGGAGGGTGCGGTCCTGCGCGGTCAGCCTAAGCGGCGGCCCTGAGCACTATGCCAGCCGGGAGGGGCCATCAGCCGGGCGGCAGCTCCGGCTTTGTGCCTGCTGCCCGCCCAGGCCAGCCGGGCCCCTCACTGACCCCCGCACAGCCTTCTGGGCAAGCCCACCAGCTCCTCTCCCACCTGCCTGGCTGTTTGTCTGGGGGCGAGGCGGGGGCTGCTACAGCTGTGCCTCGGGCGGGAAGCTGAGGCTGTGGGTGGATATTCTTCTCAAGATGAGGTGACAGGGTGACTTGAGGTAAGGAGACTGAGTTGTGAACAGAACTTTCCAGAATCTGCTGCAGCACATTCTGAGACACCCGGGAGGGGGGGCCCCCCCACCCCCGGAGGGCCCCCACCCCCGGAGGGCCCCCACCCCCCGCTATTCGTCACCATTTTATTATGGAGCCTGATGTAACCTTCGTGGTGAAACGGTGAAATGTAGGTTGTATGGAGGCCAAGGCAGCAGGAGCCCGGGTAGCCAGGGCCCCCATCCACCCATCTCCTGAGCCCAGGAATCAAGGGCCCTACAGGGACGAGTAGGGGTGCAGGGTGATGGGGTGGGAGGCGCCAGGCCTCCCTGCCCTGGGGAAGGTGGACCATTTCTCAGGCAGCCTTTCTGCAGCCAGGGGTTGGGGGCGGGGCATGAGGGGAGCAGACCTGGCCATCCCCAGATCTCAGGCAGCGTGTCCCAGGAGGGGACAGGACAGCAGGCGGGGTCCAGCATCTCTGCCACCAAGCGCACCCCCCTTCCATGCCCCAGCCCCACTCTGGGTGTGTGGGGGCCCATCCTCAGCCCATCCTGGGCTAGTCATAGTGAGACGGGGTCCTGACAGCCCAGACAGGGACAGCCGGTCCGTGCTGCTCAGACCTGGTGCTTTGCAGGATGGACAACGGGGAGGCCTGCTTTATTCTCAGCAGCCGGAACGAGGTGGACCGCACCGCGGCGGTGAGTGCTCCCCGGCCACCAGCCCCCCACCTACCCACCAGCCAGAGGGCAGAGCCCCTACCCCAGCCTCTGGCTGCCCTCAGCAGTGACCGTGGCCTCCCTGCTCAGGACCACCAGACCATCCTGCGTGCCTGGGCCGTGAAGGACTTCGCCCCAAACTGCCCTCTCTATGTCCAGATCCTCAAACCTGAGAACAAGTTTCATGTCAAGTTTGCAGGTATGTTTGGTCAGGAGGGGGGCACCCATGTGCTCCAAGGGGAGCGTGCTGGGGCTGGGGGTGGGGTTGAGGCAGAGCCCATGCAGATGCTGCACCTGGGAGCCTGGGGGTCAGTGAGGGCAGGAGCCAAGGGCAGGGGAGGGTCAGGAACACCGTCTGATGAGCACCTCTAAGGTGAGCAGATCTATGCTGGACACCTGGGGGACAAAAGGTGTTGCCAGCTCCCTCCCCCCACCCCAGCCCTGGAGAAGAGCCAGGAGCGTTAGGCTCGGGAAGGTGGGGCTGGAGGGAGCCTTCTAGGGAGGCAAGGGGACGCCTACTGTGGGGGACAGTGAGAGCCACGCAGTGACCCTGACCCTCCTGCCCTCAGAGCATGTGGTATGCGAGGAGGAGTGCAAGTACGCCATGCTGGCCCTCAACTGCATCTGCCCGGCCACCTCCACCCTCATCACCCTGCTGGTGCACACGTCCCGCGGCCAGTGAGTTCTGCCCTGGGTCCACCATGTGGCGTGCAGTGTGCTGCCCGGGAGAGGAGCAGACACTGGGGGCAAGGGACGTGTTGAGGAGCCTGTGATGGGAGGGGGTGAGAAGCCTGAGGTGGGAGCGGGTGGCGACCTGGGAGGACCCAGCTGGGAAGCAGTAGGTGCCTTGTCACTCGAGGAGTGGGAGCTGGGGGCGGCCTTGGGGCTTCAGGGAATCACAGGCAGGGCCCTCCATGGAGCAGAGGGCCTAGTTGGGGGTGGGGCTCAGGAGAACCACCGGGTCTAGAAACAGCAATAGGGGCGGGGGTGGGGGGTGGTTGGCGGGACACACTTGGCCTGTGGGAGAAGGCGAGTTGGTGTTCGGCACCTGAGCTGGGGTTCCAGGTAGAGCGGGAGGTGAGGGGCTGCCCTGGGACAGAGGTGGGGTGCCATCTTCTCTCTAGCAAGACACCCCAACAGGTGGCCTTGGCTCCTTGTGGGGTATGGGTGGCCCTCGGGGAGGGACCAAGCAGATGTTGGAGGACCCACAGGCCACAGAGACGGGTCTTGACTCTGAAACCTTTTGACGCCCCCTAAAAGCCAGACCATTATGTTCACAGCTCTTTGAAACTGGCCAAGGGACCCATCAGGCCACAGCCGGGTCTAGTCTCCCACAGACGGGGAGGGGTGGGGTCAGGGGTCACGTTGGCTTCCACCCACCCTGGAAGCCTGGAAGCGACCAGGCCGGGCGGGGCAACGGTGGGGGTGACGTCCTGACCACACCCCAGGGAAGGCCAGGACTCTCCAGAGCAGTGGCAGCGCATGTACGGGCGCTGCTCGGGCAACGAGGTCTACCACGTGCGCATGGGGGACAGCAAGTTCTTCCGCGAGTACGAGGGCAAGAGCTTCACCTACGCCGCCTTCCACGCGCACAAGAAGTACGGCCCCTTGCACCCTGTCCAAGCCCGGGACGGAGGGGCGCCGGGCGGGGCTCGAGGCGGAAGTGGGCGGGGCTCGCCGGCGCCCGCGGGTGGGCGGGGCCTCGGGCCGGATGCCGCGCCCACTCAGCGTGAGACGGGGCCCAGCACCTCTCTCTGAGGCGACCCTCGCTGGGTCTTCGGGTCGAGCGGGAAGAGGTCCCGACCCCCACGAGGAGCCCGAGGGGGGCAGCTCCGGCCTCCACCCGCGTCCGTCCGCCCACCCAGGTACGGCGTGTGCCTCATGGGCTTGAAACGCGAGGACAACAAGAGCATCCTGCTGAACCCGGGCCCGCGGCACATCCTGGCGGCCTCCGACACCTGCTTCTACATCAACATCACCAAGGAGGAGAACTCGGCCTTCATCTTCAAGCAGGAGGAAAAGCAGAAGAGGAAGGGCTTCGCGGGGCAGGGGCTGTTCGGGGGCTCATCCCGCCTGCCCGTGCACAGCATCATCGCCTCCATGGGTGAGGCCGGGCGCCCTCTCCCGGCTGGCAAGCGGGCAGGGGCCCCACCCGGAGACCCCGGTCCTCAGGCCTGCACTAACCCTGGGCAAGCCCCCTCTCTCTGGGCCTCAGTCTGCACATCGGTCGGGCAGGCCCATCCCTGCCTTCCTGTGAGGACATCACTGTCAGCACTGGGAGGGAACCCCCACCCCCAGGAAGTCCCGGGAGGGGCTTCCAGCCAAGTCCAGCCGCTCTGTTCCAGGGACAGTGGCCATGGACCTCCAGAACACAGAGTGCCGGCCTGCACAGAGCAGCGGGGGCGGTGGGGGCAGCAAGCTGGCGCTCCCCACGGAAAACGGCTCGGGCAGCCGGAGGCCCAGCATTGCGCCCGTGCTGGAGGTGGCCGACAGCTCGACCCTGCTGCCTTGCGACCTGCTGAGCGACCAGTCAGAGGATGAGATGACGCCGTCGGATGAAGAGGGGCTGTCCGTGGTGGAGTGAGTGTCTCGGGGTGGGGGGAGGACAGACGCTTTCCACGGAAGAGGGGGAGGCACAGCATGTGAGTGCCAGGTGCCCAGGAAGAAGTGGCCAGCCAGCACTGGTCCTGGATCCACGCTCTGAACCAGGCTTCCAAACAGCTTCCGCAGAGACCTTGCTTGGCAAGTGGAATCTGGGGACCCAGCTCCTGGGCAGGAAGGCTGTGCTGTATGCCCCTCACCCCTCATCCTCCTCAACCTCGCACTCTGGGCGGGCAGCCAGGCCTTAGTACCACGGCCTACTTGACTGAGGTGGCTGCATCTGAGCACGGTCTGCGGAGCCCTGGGTGAGGTGCCGTGCAGGCCTGGAGACTGCTGGCCCATGCTGAACTGTCACGCTGCCCTGGGTTTGAGTCCAGATCTTCCTCTAAGATTATGAGATGGAGAAGACCCCAGTGTGTCCTGGAGTCTCAGTCTCTTGGCCTCGTCCCAAACAGATAGGCAACACCTGACCCCAGGGCCAAGGCCAGTCACAGGCCTGCACGGCCCGTCCCTCCCAGCTGGCTGTCAGCGTGCTGTGGCCACTCTCTGCCCCTGCCTCTGACCCTGGGGTGGAGTCAACGCACTTTAAAGACAGGCTTCTGGGGACTGGCTCCAAGATGAAGGGGGCTCTAGCACAGTTGGAGCAGGCGGCACACTGGCCTCTGACACTGCCTCCCTTAAGCCAACTGGGGGCCGAGCAGAAGGCCAGCCCCCCTCCAGGTAGCCTGGCTGCCTACCACCCCACATGTCTGCACTGGGCACTGAGGGGACAGCCAGAGGTGGGGGGCAGCCTGTGGGGCAACCTGCCCAGCCTGGCCGCCAAGTAGAACAGGGGCCGAGGGCCAGCATCTGCCCTGGCGTCGGGGTACTTGGAACACCAGGGTAGGAGCACCCCTTAAGGCTCTTCTGTGGCTCCCAGGCCTGTGTGAGCTTGTGTGTGTGTGTGTGTGTGTGTGTGTGTATGCATTGCATGGAATCTCCTCCAGTCTCCAGGGAACAGACATGGGTCCCGATCACAGCCCTCCTTCCTGCCTAGGGGTTGAATATAGGGGTCCTGGGCTTCCTGGGCGTGAGGAGCGGTGGGGAGGCGCTGAGTGCCCCAGCCCAGTCTGGTCTTCCATGCCTGGCGCCCCCGTGTGGCCACCCAGGGTGCTGGGCACGTGTCTGAGGCTCCTGCCTCTCCCACGCCTCCAGGTATGTGAAGGGCTACCCCCCCAACTCACCCTACATCGGCAGCTCCCCAACTCTGTGCCACCTCTTGCCCGTGAAAGCTCCCTTCTGCTGCCTGCGGCTGGACAAGGTAGGTCACAGCAAAGATGGGTAGGCAGCAGGGACCCTGAGGACATCCTGACTCAAGTCGCACTCCCCCGTGTCCATTTCTGTTGGAGGGGGCGCGTTCCCTCCCTCCTGCATCCGCATGCGTGTCTGAGGCGAAGGTGTGTGTCTCCTGACCACAGTCCACTTGCCAGGACCAGGATGTGTGTGTCAGACCCTCAGCCCCCAGTCCAGCTGCCCTTCTGGCCGGAGGCAGTCCTGACCCACCTCTGCGTGCCCGTCATGCCTGCCTCCCTCCATCTCAAGGCTCCTTGCCCCTGGGACTTCCAATGGGTCTCTCCCGTATTTGGGGAGCGCAGTCATCGATCTGGTGGAGTGTCCCTGCAGGGGGGCAACTCAGCCTTTGCACGGGGCGGGGGCTGGTCCCCCCAGAGGTGCCACATCATCTGGGAGGCCTCGCTGCAATGCTGCCTTAGAGCACGTGGCTCGGGACCACACCTGGTCTCCCTGGAGGAAATACAGCTTCACCTTTGCAGTCAGGACATCACTGTGGGGAGACACGTGGGGACCGGGTACTAAGCTGCTCGTCACCGACCCCCTGATGCGTTTCCTCTGCAGTTGATGGATCGCAGGTTCTAGTTCCTTCCATGTTTTTGTGCACTTTTCCCCGTGAGGAGGTTCTTCCTCTTTCTTAGCCATTGTGTACATCAGTGTGGACTCACTGTTTCACTCAGAGAGTAAACCCGCTGTGCATTACTGCAGCATCGGCTTTCTGTGCAGATCCTGCTGGTTTTGACACTCAGATATTCCTGGTTTTGCTGAGGAGGCCTCCAGGTCTTTCTGACACGTCTCCTGGTCTGTGAAGGTGTCTGCTTCTGAACTAGTGGTGCCCCCTGTTCTTGTTCCTCTTCCAGACCTGGAACTGGCTCCTGCTCCAAGAAACCTGATTCCTGCTAGTGGAAACCACGTTTAGAAACAAGATGGGGATTTGGGGTGCTCACTGCTGTCCTGCATCTGGGCCTCTCCGCAGAGAGCTAGAAAGTGGGCACACACATGACAGAATGTGTACACACATGACAAAAATGCATGCACACACATAAAATGTGTATACACCACTCAACAATGTATACACATATGACAAAACGTGCACACACAAAACATGTACACATGCACACAACAGAATGCACACACATGACAAACCATGTACACACAAACATGTATACATATGCACACACTACAGAACATTTATACACATGGCAGAACATGTGCCACAAAATGTGTATGCACATGCACACACTATGGAATGTGTATACACATGACAAAATGTATGTATATACACATGTATACACTACAAAATGTGTACACACGTGACAAAACATGCACACACAAAATGTGTATACATACGAGACGTGTGTACACACGAGAGAATGTTATATGCATAAGAAATGTGCACACACATACAAAATGTGTACACACATGCACACACTACAGAATGTGTACACACAAGACAAAATGTGCACAAACACAAATGTGTCCACCCAGACACATCTGTGTCTGCTTCTGCTAAGGCCACAAGTTCACACAGACACCTCCCTTCCACACCCGCAGGGCCCCAGCTCACGCCCTGCAGGGTATGGTGGGTGGCTGGCCTGTAGCCCCAGTGATACCAGGTACCATTTGGCCTCAGGCTTCCTTAGAACACCCTCCCTCCCCTCCACGGTTGATTCCAGCATTCTCCCCATCCAGGGCTGCAAGCACAATAGCTACGAAGACGCCAAGGCCTACGGCTTCAAGAACAAGCTGATCATCGTCTCGGCGGAGACGGCGGGCAACGGGCTGTACAACTTCATCGTGCCGCTGCGCGCCTACTACCGGCCCCGCCGGGAGCTCAACCCCATCGTGCTGCTGCTGGACAACAGGTGAGGGGCAGAGGGCAGGGCACGGGCGCCCCCACCTCTGGCGGCGGGGGGGCGGCCCGCCCTGCCCGCCCCCTCCCACACTCTGGCGCCGCTCCATCGTCCTCCCCGAGACCATGAACCTCGCCCAGGGCGCGCCCCGAGCACCTCTACCCGCAGAGGCCTGCCAGACCCAGACCACAGGGTCTGGTCCCAGCTGTCCTGCCTCCCAGGGACTTAGCTTCCCCTCGGGGACCTGATGGCCTCTAAAGGCCCCCGGTCCAAGCCGTCGTGGTCCTGGGGCCCCTGCTCTGCCCAGGTCAGAGCCGGTGTGGGGATGGGGCTGGGGGCGGAGCCTGGTGGACGCCTGCAGGACCTGCTGTGCCCACAGGCCCGACCACCACTTCCTGGAGGCCATCTGCTGCTTTCCCATGGTCTACTACATGGAGGGCTCCGTGGACAAGTAAGGCGCCTCTTGGCAGGAGGACCTCCGCTGCCCGCTCCCCACCTCCCTGGGCGGGTACCCAGGGCCGAGCAGGGGGCGGCCGCACCCAAGGGCGTCTCCCCACAGCCTGGACAGCCTGCTGCAGTGCGGCATCATCTACGCGGACAACCTGGTGGTGGTGGACAAGGAGAGCACCATGAGCGCCGAGGAGGACTACATGGCCGACGCCAAGACCATCGTCAACGTGCAGACCATGTTCCGGTGAGACTCGGGGGCCGCCCTGAGCTCCCCCCACGCCGGTGTCCAGGGGCCCCGCCCCGAGCCCCCTCCCCACGTCCATGACCAGGCCCACCCCCCCCAGGCTCTTCCCCAGTCTCAGCATCACCACCGAGCTCACCCACCCGTCCAACATGCGCTTCATGCAGTTTCGCGCCAAGGACAGCTACTCTCTAGCTCTCTCCAAACTGGAGAAGGTGAGTGGCCCCTCGTGAACCACCCCTTCCCCAACTGCCCCTCTGTGAACTGCCCCTTCTGACTCTGTCCAGCTGAGGGCCTGCACCAGGCCTAGAGGGCGTGGGTGCCTGCCCTCCTCCAGCGGGGTGCTAGCCCCAGCGTGAGGCTCTCGAGCGAGCAGCCCAGAGACTTTAGGGTCCTCGGCCGGAAGGGGAGATTGTCCTCCTAAGGCAAGGTCCAGTCCGGCCTTGTGCGTGGCCAAGGCTGCTTGTTATACCAGAAATTACTCACCCGGGTGACACCAGCCCTGACAGCACACCCACATCTGAGCCGTGTCCGTTCTATCAACCACAGGCAGGGATGTGTTCATCCCGGTACAGATGAGGGCGTGAGATCAGAGAGGGGAGCCTTTGCCTCGGGTCACACAGAGGCTCAGAGGCAGAGCTGGAACCAGCTTTCTGCTCGGCTCCATGAAGGGGATCAGCAGGGTCAGGTGTGGGCCCGGGGGGCATGGGGACCCGCCATGGTCTGGTGGTGCCACCCTGGCATGTTGTGGACCCCAGGCCCTCCCTAGCCCCCTGTCTGGGTCAGTGTAGCACTGCCCTCCACTGAGAGGCAAGGCCGCGCTCAGGTGGACCCGGGTGAGACGAGGAAGCAGGTGGGCCACTACCGAGGAGATCCGGCCAATGAAGTCGGGGGCAGTGACCATTCCCCGCGAGCCTGGACTGAGGTCCTTGTTGGGGGGCAGCTTGCATCTGCGTGGCTGACCCCACACCAGGCCAGGCCTGGCCCCAAAAGCAGAGAGGGGCAGTGCGGGAGCTCCACCTGCCCAGAACCCAGGTGGACAACGGAAGTGCATTTTGCCAGGAGGCCCATGGTGGCCCCGGAGCCCCTTGGTCGGTAGCCAGAGGCCTCAGTCAACAGCCAGGGAACTCGGGCCATCCTGCCCCTGGAGGAGGCTTGGGCTGCACCCCATATGACAGCCCATTGGAGCCCACTCAGAACCACTTCCTAGCAGCCCGTGAGTTGATCCTCCGTCTGCTCAAAGCTGGGACTGTGGGTGTCGGAAGCGGCCCCGGCTGGGACTGTGTCCAGGTCCTGGGCCAGTCTGACCCAGTTCAGGCAGGATGACCAGCACAGAACTGGGGTCAAGGCTGACATCCTGGCGCTGGTCCTCACTTGCCACCAGTTCCCCACAGGCCTTGCACTCCCACCTGTTCAGCAAGTGGTCCTGAAGTAGGTCTGTCAGCAGACACTGCCCTTCCACGGCGGACACCACAAATCCACCCCCTACTCCCGCCTTCTGTGGCAGGCATCACCAGTCGACCACACCTTCCACCTTCCCCTGCAGCATCACCTCCAGGGGGAGGGGCAGGGGCGGCCCACTCCCCACCTTGTCCTGTGGTTTCGTGACGGGGAGAGAAGTCAGCAAGTGAGCACGTGTGGCCTCGGGAGGCTGCAGCCCAGGGTTGAAGGCTGTGCTGATGGATACGCTGGGCAGGGCCAGGCGTGTGCAGTGCCTGGGGGCTGAGGACAGAGGGGCACAGGGCCACGTGATCCACCCCCTCTGGAGAGATGGTCAGAGCCAGTGCCCCCCCTCACCTATGCACACAGCAGATTCCACAGAGGACGGGGTGGGAATGTGGCATCACGCTGTACGCACAACCTGGATGAGGCAAGTCCTGTTTCGTGAGCGGAAGCTGCAGGAACATCGGAAACACTTCTGGCACTCAGATGAACATGCTTCCCCGAGATCGAAGTGGTGCTAGGGCGGGGGGGATTCAGGAAGGTGTGGAGGGCAGCGGTTGCATCTCCCTGGAGGCTCTCAGGAAGGTCTCCTAGAGGCTGGGTCACTGCCCACCCCACTCCCCACCCCGTCCCCAGACTCAGGTTCCTGGTGGCATCATCGTTTCAATAGCCTCAGCACCTGTGACAGTGACGTCAGCCAGGGCCCAGCCTGCCCATTCAGTCCTGCCCCTGCTCCCTGCAGCCACGTGGTTTTCAGAAGGGCTCATCCATGTGTGTTCCCATGTCTCGGTGTGGCCTGTGATCTCGGAGCTTGGGCTACAGCCTTCGGTCCCTCCGTGGCCACTACAGAACAGGCAGAATGAAGCCACTGAAACATCAAGCCTTCTTTTGTCCACGGTCTCCCTGGACCCCCTCTCGGTCTTTTCTTCTCAAACCATTCACTGTTCTGGGTGAAGGGAAACCGACCGCTTTAACGATCTTGGGAATCTCCCCGTTTGTCCTCATAGCGTGCAGCAGGAGCGTGCAGCCTGGAGTCAGCAGGCCACGCGGGTCAGATTCCAGGGCTTGTCCAGGATTCATTCTTTCCGGGACAGCAAAATGCTGCTCAGAACTGACAGACTGTTTCCCTCTTGGACACTCACGTGCCAGCGCGCCCTCAGGCTCCCTGCTGGTGGGGAGGGACAGAGGTGAGGCCTGCTGCCCCAGTGTTTGTCTGCCCCGCCGGCTGCCAGCCGAGTTTGCATGAGGAAGCTGCCTCAGCAGGAAGCGGCCCCAAGAGAAGGCCCCGGGAGGGCTCCTGCATCCCACCTTCTGTCTGTGGAGCGTGTTCTGGTCCAGAGGGAAAGATGACTTCCTGGGCTCAGAGCCAGCCCTCAGCTGTAGGCCGACCTCATGCAGTGGAGACACGTGCCCAAAAAGTCTGCGTCCCAGAACCAGCACGGAGTGGGGAACACAAATCCTGTGAAGAATGCTGAGAGGGAGGAGGCCCTGGTTCGCCCTGGGGCCCCATGCCATCACCAGGGTCCTTTCAAGAGGGAGGCCGGAGGTCAGCCTGCTAGCCCTGGAGGTGAAGGAAGGGACCAGGGCCGTGGGTGGCTTCTAGAAAATGGGAAAGGCACAGGAAAGGAGTTTCCTGGGGGGCAGAGGGTGGTCACTGGCGGGAGCCCTGCGACACCTGACTCTAGCCCCATATATCTGATTGGACTTGTGAAGTCTGATACCATGAGAGAGGAATCGTGTGGTTATGAGCTGCGGGTCTAAGGAATCCACGTGGGGCCTCGTGACGCCGTGCTCACAGGGGAGGCAGGAGCTGTGATACACACGTCGCTGCTCACACGACGCCTTGCTGTCCTCGCCATCTCACAGCACACAAGCTCCAGGACAAGTTGCTACGAGTGTCAAGGGCCCAGGGTGGCAGTGGCCAGGCATTAACCCCAGCACGGGCCCCTGGCTCTCACCAGGAGAGCCCTGAGTCCTTACTCCTGGCTCTGGCCCCCTGTGTCTGGGGGACATGTAGCTGGGTGCTTGGCCTCTGTGTGGAGGCATCTGCTGGCCCGTGTTCATACACTCACCCCACACGTGTGCACACGCACACACACCCCGTGCACGCATGCCCTGGGCTGCCTGCCCCATGCGGCTGTGGCCACAGGCACCAGCCTGTCTGAGCTCCCCTGTCTTGCAGAGGGAGCGTGAGAATGGCTCCAACCTGGCCTTCATGTTCCGCCTGCCCTTCGCCGCCGGCCGCGTCTTCAGCATCAGCATGCTGGACACACTGCTGTATCAGGTCAGCCTGGGGCCTGGCCGACGTCCGGTCCTGAGCAACGTCCACCCTGGGTCCCCAGGAGACCAGTGGCACTGAGTGGCTCTGGGTCCCGCCCCTGCCTGGGAGCCACAGGGGTTCACCATGAGTGTCGCCATCCCTTACTCCCAAGAGGGTGCTGGCCTAGGGTCACTCCTGGCAGCCTTTGGGTTTCTGACCCCTTCTGACCTAAGGCGCGTGAACAGGCGAGCTACCACGGCCGGGAAAGGCCTCGCGGCTCTGTCTGCCGGCTCGCTGCGCAGGGCACACTGTGGGTGCCCGGCGGGCCTGTCCCGCCACGGGGGTGTGGACCCGCCCGCAGCGCCGGCCTCACTGCGGCCCCTCCCCTCCAGTCCTTCGTGAAGGACTACATGATCCCCATCACCAGGCTGCTGTTGGGCCTGGACACCACGCCGGGCTCGGGCTACCTCTGTGCGGTAAGTGCCTGCGCCGGGGGCTTAGGGGGCGCGAGCGGGCGGGCCGGAGGGGCGGGGTTGGCGGGCGGGGTCTCGTCTGGGGGCGGGGCCTGTGGCCGGGCCGGAGCGGACTGGGTCGGGGGCGGGGCCGGGACAGAGGGGCGGGGCCTGTGGCGGAGGGCGGGGCCGGGCCGGCGCGCCCTGCCTGGGGAGTCGAGCGCTGGCTCTGCGGCCCGAGGCCGGCCCAGCCCAGTCTCTGCGTTGCAGATGAAGATCTCGGAGGACGACCTGTGGATCCGCACCTACGGCCGCCTCTTCCAGAAGCTGTGCTCCTCCAGCGCCGAGATCCCCATCGGCATCTACAGGACCCAGTGCCACGTCTTCTCCACCGAGGTGCGGGGCGGGGCACCTGGGGATCCGGGCCCTTTTGGGGTCAGGTTCACAGGCGCCCATGTGGTTCCTTGGGGGGCTTTGGGGGAGGGGAGAGCACCGAGGGGCCCCCGTGCCGCCGCCGGGACCGCGGACAGCGGCCTGCCCACGAGTTGTGAGCCCACGGGGGCTCAGGCAGCCTCCCAGGTCAGGGCAGGAGCCCCACAGGTACCCAAGCGGCTCTGGTTTCCTTTGCAGCCCCCCGACCTCAGGGCCCAGGTGAGTGGTCCCTTCAAGCCCACGGGAGTGCCCGAGCCCAGCCTGGGGCTGGGTTGGGGGTGGTGTGGTCAGGAAGCAAGTCCCCAGGTGGCGCTGGCCAAGGTGCAGGTCAGAGAGGACTCCTAGCATCACCCTCCTCCCCCGTGCAGATGGGGAAACTGAGGCCGGGGTGGGAAGCCCAGGCTCCCCCTGCCCCCAGGCCGTCTGCCCCTCAGGGCAGGGCCCCCATCCTGGCAGATACTCCTTCCTCTCCCCGCCCGTCCCCACTTCCACCCCACCCAGGCCCTCATGTCACCCACCAAGCTTTGCAAGGCCCTGCGCTTCGCAGCCCACCATCGGGCTGCCCCTGCTCTCTCCTGCCCCCGAGGTGAGGAAACTGAGTCTCCTAGAAGGGGTGATCCCCCCCGCCACCCCACCGTGGCAAAGTCAGAGCACGCAGCCCCAGAGAAGTGGAGGGAGGCCCACCTCTCACCAGCAAGTCAGGGACGGGCCTGAGCCAGGCTTTGGGGAATGGAAGGGATTTCCACCTGAGAGAGGAAGGGCCTGGGGTCCCCCCGGAACTGTGACTGTCCTCCCCATCGCCCCAGCTGCTCCGTGGGTCCCCCCAGTCCTCTGCCCAGCACCCCTCCTCCTTCCCTTGCCCCCCCAGTCCCCGGGCCCCCTTCCCCTCCCAGGCCTCACTCCTCCTCCCTGGCCAGTCCCAGGTCTCGGTGAGCGTGGAGGACTGCGAGGAGGCGAAGGGGCCCTGGGGTGCGCGGGTGGGCACGGGCGGCGGCAGCACCCACGGCCGGCACACGGCGGGCGGCGACCCAGCCGAGCACCCGCTCCTGCGGCGCAAGAGCCTCCTGTGGGCGCGGAGGCTGAGCCGCAAGGGCTCCCGGCATACGGGGAAGGCGGCAGCGGAGTGGATCAGTCAACAGCGGCTCAGCCTGTACCGGCGCTCTGAGCGGCAGGAGCTGTCAGAGCTGGTCAAGAACCGCATGAAGCACCTGGGGCTGCCCACCAGCGGCTACGGTAAGGGGCAGGGCGTCTGTCTTCTCTCCTGGCCCGTGTCGGGGGGCTCCCCTAGATCCAGCGCCAAGCCCTGTAAGGAAGGGCTCGTTCATCCCCTGCTCTGGGGCCTCAGTTTCCACATCTGTAGAAAAAAGATGCCTACTGCCTGAGCCAGGAGGCAGCTGTCCTGAAGGAGGTGGCTGTGGGTGGGGACAGCCTGGCCAGGCTCCCTGAAAGCCAAAGGCACCGGCCTCAGCCGGGGGGCGGATTGGCCACGTCCAGCCGGTGGCCAGGATCAGGAATGCGGGACCCCGTCACGTTCCCCTGAGGATAGGAACAAGGGTGTGGCGGGGACACCCCAGAGCCCTGGCCACCCCTCCCCAGACCCTCCCCGCAGCTGGAGCTCGCGCCAGGCAGGGGCGGGTCAGGTCAGGGAGCCCAGCACCAGGACACTCCACCACTGCTCCTGGGGCAAGGCCACCCCATTCCCGCGACTTCAGGGTGACACTGCCAGGGCGTTTGTCGTCGTCGTCGGCAGATTTTCTCCGTAGCTTGATTCGGGGAAAAGTTTGTGACCCTGACCGTGAACAGGGCTGGGGTCCCCGGCTGGGCCAGAGGAGACTAGCCTGCCTGTCCCTCGCTCCAGAGGTGCTGCCTCTGTTGATGGGGCTGAAAGGGGCCCAAGCCCCCCGCCCCTCCCACTGTAGCCTGGCCTCAACCCGGGATGGGTGGAGGCTCGACCTCTGCTAGGCTCCATCTCTGGGGGACTCTGCCCCCAAACCCACCCCAGGCCTGGCTATAGTTTCCTGGGCACCCACTCCCCCCACCCCGCCACCTGCTGCTCGCCTCCTGGGTCAGGGGCCCTCAAGCCCCTCCAAGTGGGACCAAGTGGCTTTGGGCTTCACCCAGAGCTGCCCAAGGGTCTCTTGGGTCTGGCTGTACGCTGGGCCCAAGGAGATCGCCACCCGGGAGAGGCGCCCAGCCCCTCCCGGCCACACCCCTGCCGCACGGTGCATCTCCACTCTGCCCTCTCCCCGGGCAGGTGCTGTCACCCCCGTCCCGGGTGTGTGCTGGTTGCTCAGGCTCCCAGTGGGGGTCCTGTTTCACGACCCCATGTCACACCCTGGCAGACGGACACTCCAGCCTGGCTGAGCCCCAGAGCAGGGGGCTCCCCTGGGCCTCCCCGCCCCGCCCGCCCCCACCAGAGCTTGGCAGCCAAAGAGCCGACTTCTCTTCTGGGACAGACGGGCTGCCTGCAGCCTGCATGCACCTCCCGCCCCCCCGCTATGCTGGCCGCCTCCTCCACGCTGCTTGCTGACCTCAATCTCTCTCTCTGTTTCTGTCTGTCCCTCTCCCTGTGTGTTCCATAGAGGATGTAGCAAATTTAACAGCCAGTGATGTCATGAATCGGGTAAACCTGGGATATTTGCAAGGTAATTCTGCTCCGGCGGCCAGAGTCTGGCATAGGGGGCGTGCCAACCCTTCCCGACGGTCCACCCGGTGGCCGCCCGCCCCAGCCAGGCAGGCAGACAGGGCAAGACACAAGAGGGGGTCCCTGCAGGCAGGGCCCCACGAGCTCCCAGGCTGCCCCACTGCAGGGACCCTGACTTTCTCCCCACCGACTGCTGACTTCAGGATGGCGCCCTGCACCCCAGCCCTTCTGCCCACTTTGTTGTCTGAGATAAGCCCTGCCCTGGACATGCAGGCAGCCATCGGCCGGCCCCCGGGAGCCCACCCAGCTCTCGAGAAACACTGGGATGGAGGGGTACCCAGGCCAGGGTACTCACGCCCCCGGCGTGGTGGAGCACAGTGAGACCTGAGCTGGTGCCTGGGGCCTTGGGGTCTGCCACACCCTGAGCCTTCAAGGGCCACCCAAGTCAGGTGGACGGTTGACCTCCACTCCCCAGCTGGGGCTTCACGAGGGGGGCCTCTTCAGTTGAGACAAAGTCTGACTATACCACGTTCTCATCCAGGCACTCAGGTGCAGCTTGAGCCCCTGTATCTTCCAAGAGACACCCCGCAGGCCCCAGACCCTCCCCAAGACCCCAGCAGAGGTCAGAGCAGAGTCCAGCCCCCAGACCTCGCTGCCGGGACCCCTTCTTTACCTGGGGGCTCCCCAGGCTCAGAGCTGCGCAGGCCTCCTGAGCCCAGGTGGGTGTTAGCTCAGGTGGGCTGGTTTCCGAGGCCGGCCGGCGCAGACAGGACTCAGGATTGAGAAGCCCTGGGGCGCGCCGCGGAGGAGCTGCAGGGCTGCCCAGGAGGCAGAGCGCTGACCACACCCCACCCCCCGCGCCGGGCCCCTGCGTGTTTCCTCGCTCTCACCCGCGGCCGCGCTCACGGCAGCCCCCCACCAGGCCAGCGCGGGCCTGAGCCTGGGGCTGCCACGAGCAGGAGGGCCGCACCGTCGCCTCCCTGTGGCCGGCTGCGCCCCACTGCTCGCCAAGGCTCACGGGCAGGGTGGCCGCACCCACAGGGCCACTGGGTGGTGTTTACTGAGCCCCTCCCCCTGGCGTGTGGACGTCGACAGGTGCCTGGGCCAGGACCTAAAACCAGAGGAGAGGTTGGTCCCATGGGGCTGCAGGGCGGTCCTCAGGGGGACACCCCCACAAGGCGCCCCCCCAGGCACGGGCAGATGAGGAGGAGACGCCCCCAGCCGTGACATGTAGACACAGCCCCTTCCGCACGGTCACCCCTGGGGGGACGGGTCCAGCTGCCCCCAGTTCACAGCTCTCGGGCAGGGGCTCCAGAGGAGTGGTGTGGACCCCCAGGGGCTGGCGAGAGTCCGGTCTGCGGGGCCAGGGAGGAGCCCCTACGGAGGCTGAATGCCAGGTGCGGAGGCTGGGGGGCTCTGCTCTTGGCCATGGGCCAGGCCCTCCCCAGAGCACAGCAGGCGCGGTGAGGCCGCCGCGTCTGGGAAGTCGGGGTCAGGGCCTCGTGGGTCACCCAGTCCCCGGGCGCTACAGCCGGACCCCATGTGCCTCCCCCAGCCACCTCTCAGCCCAGCGCCCCCAGAAGCACAAAGCTGGGCCCGGCTTGGGCTGGTAACGCCCATAGCCTACCTGCCCCAGGCAGAGGCAGGGCCCAGGCCGGGTGGGGAGGGTCCAGTGAGGCAGGGGCCATGCCCGCCCTCTGTGGCCGCCCCTGGGTGAGATGAACGGGTGGCCCCATCCCATGCCAGCCTCTCTCTTTTCCTTGTTCTTGATGGCTGTGCTCAGGGGTGCAGGGTCCCCCAAAGCCTCCCGCTCCCGCCCGCACCTCGGCTGCCCCAGCTCCGCTCTTTGCTGCCCTCCCTGGACATGCGCCGCCTCTGTGAGCCAAGCCCGCCGGTGACCCCGCGCGGTGGGAGGGGCGGGGGTCAGGCCGTCCCCTTCCGGGCGGGTACACCAGCCTGGGCCAGGTGATGTCTGTAGGCCCCGCCCCCTGTTCGGCCTGCACCCACCCCCACCCGCAGCTGTCCCCTGAAGCATGCCGTGGGGATCGCGAATCCAGAGTCAGATTCGGCCCTGAACTCGCCAGTTCAGAGAAGTGAACCGCTGCCCCACCTTCCCTGAGTACCTGACCCCGTGGCCAGGGAGCCCTCCCCGGATGGGAGGGGCCAGTGCAGAGAGAAGGAGGTGGGAGGAGCCGGGGCAGAGGTCGCCCAGGGCCCTACCCACCCCCTCACAGGGCGGTACCCCCCAGTGTCCAGTCCTCCTGGGTCAGGAGGCGCCTTTAGGCATCCCCAGATGTGTAAACCGAGGCCACCAGCTGCCCACCTCCTGCCACTCACTGAACACGGGGCCACTGCCGAACAGCGGCCAGCCCGACCCCACAGTTGGCCAGAGAGACATCTGTGCGGTGACCGGGGTTTCTCTAGAACTGGTTCACACCCCTGCGGGCCACATCCCGGGGCCGCCCCCAGTCCGGACACGGGGCTGGCTGTACCCGTGGCCGGACCCTGTATGTGCCCGAGGGGACCTCCGGCAGGGTGAGCCGGTTGGACTCTGGGCTGATGCTGCGGGACAGGTTTTGGGAAACGGAGGGCAAGTCCAGGGTTGACAGTTGAGGAGGGGATTGGGTGTGGCCCGTATGGGGCAGGGGTGCTGGGGGGAGGGGAGAATGAGCCTGGGCTGGGTGTGTGTGCTGGTGTGTGCACACGGGGAGATGGGGACATGTGCACAGGTGTGCTCCAGTCAGGGTCACCGCCTCCTAAGATGCTGGTGACTCAGCTGAACAAGCTACGGGGACGGGCAGGAGTGGTGGCTGCCCCCTGCCCATGCCGAGCTGGGCTGAGGCCCACGTGGGTCAGGGAGGACCGGCCAGGCTGGGTTCCCCAGGACAGGGCTCGGGCGGGACGGCCGGGAGGATTCTGCAGCTAACCGGAGCTGCCAGCTCCTCGGGGCCTGGTGGAGCAGAGGTGGGCAGGGGCTGAGGGGTGACCGCCCGCCGGGCCCTGTCTCCTCCGCAGACGAGATGAATGACCACCAGAACACCCTCTCCTACGTGCTCATCAACCCCCCGCCCGACACGCGGCTGGAGCCCAACGACATCGTGTAAGTGCCGCGTCCCCAGGCAAGCGTAGACACCTGCCCTTCGCCATGTGCACGGGCACCGCACACCCACGTGGGTGTCCAGCCTGGCCTCCTGGGCAGAGCGCGATGCCAGGGCCCTCCTTCCTCCCCACAGATATCTCATCCGCTCGGACCCCCTGGCCCACGTGGCCAGCAGCTCCCAGAGCCGGAAGAGCAGCTGCAGCAACAAGCTGGCCTCCTGCAACCCTGAGACGCGGGACGAGACGCAGCTCTGACAGCCTTGCGGAGTCCGCAAGCCCGTGATGCATGAGTGCAGGGCCCTGCCCGGCGCCCGACCCCAAGAAGCTCCCAGGACTGGGCCAGAGGGAGCGGACCTTAGCCGGGTGAGGGCTGGGGCTGCCCTGGGCACTGCTGGACGCCGGCAGGAAGCCTTTTTAACCTGTTTTTAGGAATCTATACAACCCTGATCCTTTGCACAAACGCACCGCAACTCGTGACCGGATCTGGCCACGGCGGAGGGACGGGAGCCGGGCTGGACCGCAGGGTGAGGCTGGGGTGCATTGGGCAGGGGCCAGGGCCGGGGCTTGCACCACGACAGGAGAGGGATGCTGCAGCCCGAACTTGCCATGTTTCCACAGCCGTGGACCAGTCTTGCCCGTGGCTCTCAGCCAAGCCATGGGGTGGAGGGCCGCCCTTCTCGCCCAGCTCCCCTGTGTGCTTATTTGAGAAGGAAATGGAAAACAAGAGGGTCTTCAGCTTAGCCAAGCCCCTGGCCGCAGCAGGGCGGGCTCTGAAGAAGCATCAGGGCGGGGCCCTGCCACACACTGGGGATCCCGTGGCCCGTGTCTTTGTGGAACAGACTCGGACGACTGCCTTTTCCTCAATTTTATGCTGAACTTTTGCAGCCGCACCATCTGACGCCCTTTTAAACGAGAAATCTGAAGCACAACGCAGCCGCTGGGCTGCTGGCCCACGTCTCCAGGACGGAGACTTCTCCTTATCAAGGGAGGGACTCTGGGCATCACCTCGGTTCCTTTGTGACTGTTGCTGACAGGTTTGCACGCTCAGTGCTGGAAACTTCCATTAAATGGATGCATTCTGCAGACAGGAGGTCCCCTCATGAGGCATTCTCTCCGTGGTTGCATGCTCTGGGCTTGGGTCTGCCCCAGCTGCCCAAGGGTTAGGAACAACCCCAGGGACCCCACAGGAAAGCCCCAGCCCAAGGAAATGCAGCTGGCCCTGGTCCTCCCCAAAAGCAGGAAGCACGTCAGCTGGGGGCAGGGGTTCCAGGAGGGCTCCCTGGAGCCCGGCCGAGCCCGGGACAGGTCTGTGCGCCTCCCCAGCACAAAGACACCCCTGTTGGTTCTCAGCTGGGGGCCCTTGCTCCTACAGAGTACCCCCAAGTCTGGCAGGGGAAGGACCAACCCAGCCCCCAGGGTGGGTGTGGCTCCAGGCCACTCAGCGGCTGGAGCGGCCTGCCCCCTGGGAAGGACATGACTCAGGGCGGCCTCCCCTTCCCAGGTCAAGGCTGCACGTCCAGCTCACCCCCCACTGGCTGCCTGGGACCCTCCCACCCAGAGAGGGTCTCCACGCCCAGGGTTGGGGGAGCTGCTGGGACAGTGTGGGCTGTGGGGGGTCAGGAAGGGTGTCTGATCGAGGTGGGGAAACTCGAGGGGCCCTCAATGGGGTGACAGGCCATTGACGTGGGCTTGGGTGCCCTTTGGGCCACAGGGCCCGTCCCAGCAGGGTGTCAGTAGCTTCCAGGGTCCTGTCAGTGACGTTCCCTTCCGCAAACTGCCACCTCTCCTGGCACCCACATGCCAGCTCCCCAAGGGGAGGAGGCCCCTGCAGGACTGGAGACCGAGGGGCCCTTCTTGGCCGCTAGAGCGGGGTCTCCATCCAGGTGGGGTTGCAGCCGCTCGAACCCCCCACCGGGAAGACAGCATCCGACTGGGATCCTTGGAGGTGTCTGCTGGAGTGTGGGTGCACAGGACGGGCGGTGAGGAATGGGGTCTCCTCTGGGCCAGATGCACTCACACCCAGACGCTGTCACACCCAGACACACTCTCACACCTGGACACACACTCAGACACACTCACACCCAGACACACACTCATCCAGATGCACTCACACTCACACCCAGACACACTCTCACACCCAGAAACACACTCACACCCAGACTCACTGACACCCAGATGCTGTCACACCCAGACACACTCACACACCCAGATGTACTCACATGCAGATGCACTCTCACACCCACTGTCACACCCAGATGCACTCACACTCACACCCAGATGCACTCTCACACCCAGATGTACTCACACCCAGATGCACTCTCACACCCACTGTCACACCCAGAAACACACTCACACCCAGATGCACTCACACTCACACCCAGATGCACTCTCACACCCGGACACACTCAGACACACACCCAGACGCACTCTCACACCCATGGCCACGTGCAGAGGCTTCAGCAAAGGCCTGAGACTGGATCCAGAAGACATTTGTCAATGTTTTGACAGGGTTTCAGACATATAAAATGAGAGAGAGACACCTCTGATTTTTTGTTTAATTCCTGTAGAAAGCTGGTCACAACACGGCACCAGTGACAAGCGGGCTGTTGTGGCTCATGACGTGACATGGCCTGGGGACGCCGGCCCGGAGGTGCCTGTCTGCCTCCCCCCAGAGCTGAGCATTTATGGATGGTCATGGAGCAGGTGTGAACAGACTCAGGGCAACCACCCAGAAGCTTACAGAGAAGTGTGTTCAGGAGCTGGGAGACGAAAGGAGATGGAATCATATCAAGCGCTTATTAAAAGCAGAGCAGGCAGAAAAAGGGACAAGGTGTGCACAGCACAGGCAGGAGCAGGGCAGGGGCCACCCCACCCCCAGCCCCCTAGCCCCCTGGCCAGCAGATAGCCCCTCGGAGGCCCAGCCTCAGGAGGACGCCGGCCCACTCACCGTGGACACGGGCTCGGTCGCCAGGCAGGAGTCCACACGACCGCAAAGCAGGCACCCCCACAACATTCCCACCTCGTCTTCACCCCAGTCCAGACCAACGGTCTCAAAGGTGCCTTTTCCCTCTGGGGGCTCAAGTTCAGGTCAGGACCCTTGGCAGCTGAGCCCCCTGATGGGTGGGCGTCTCAGGAATCGCAGCATTTTCTTGTGAGATTGGCGAGCTATGGCTTCCTGTGGGCTGGGCAGGGCTGTGTCCCTGATGCCAGACGGGCGTGCTGGCTGGGCTGGGTGCACACAGGTGCACATGCAGACCAGGACCTCAGCCCGCCCTACCGCCAGCCTCACCCCCCTGGGGCTTGAGGGGCTTGGCTGGGGCCTCCAGGGGAGGAGTTCCCCAGGGCAGCCGGCTGACCAGGGCCACGTTCAGGCCTGGTGAAGTCAGTGGAAGCTTGAGTGTCAAGCAAGGTGGTCTCGGAGGACTCGGGGATGCCCAGAAAAAGCAAGTAAAAATCTTTACCCAGGCCTGCTCCACTCCAGCCCCCCAGGTTCTAGGTGACCACGTGGGTTCACAGTGGACCTCCATTCCAGCCCTGGGCTCCTCCAGGGAGACCACCCAGCCCCTGCAGGTCCCTTCTCTGGCTGGGACCCCCGTTACCTCCAGGGTCTCTCCAGGGCTCTGCGGGGGAGAACAGCTTACCCAGGGCACCTTCCTGCTGCCCCGACTGTCCCAGGGACCCAGGCCACAGACCCCGGGACACCAGGCAGTGACTGCAGACTCGCTCTCAGCATTCATAGCCCCTCTCCAGCCCAGCTTGGGGCCCGGGACTTCAGCCCAGCAGCCCCAAGATTCTGGATGGAGGGGCCACAGGGAGCCCATCGGCCCCCTCGGTGCTGAGGCAAACCCTGTGGCTGGTTCCCGGCTATCCTGCTGCACAGGTGGGTTGAGGGGCCTCCCCCAAGAGCTGGTGCTGAGCCTGGGTCCTCAGTGAGAGGGGCTGAGGTGGACAGGGAGTCAAGAAGTCTAGAACCTCTGCTCATCACAGCTCCATCGAGAGTGCAGAAGCGCTGGAGGCATAAGATAACTAATATACAGAATATATCTTTTAAAGGAAAAGAAGCAGAACACTTGAAAAGACATTTCACAAAAGAAAAATAAGATGACCAACAAAGACATGGAAATATGCTGCATTCATCTCTAACCAAGAAAACAGCAATTAAAAACACCAAGAGAAGGGGTTATATTCCAAATACCAAGAGTAACAGTTAAAAAAAAAAAAAAAGCCAGAGTTCCCTGGTGGCCTAGCGGTTAGGATTTCGGGCATTCATTGCTGTTGTTGTTCAGTCGCTAAGTCATGCCCTCTTTGCGACCCCATGGACTGCAGCACGACAGGCTTCCCTGTCCTTCACCATCTCCAGGAGTTTGCTCAAACTCATGTCCATTGAGTTGGTGATGCCATCCAACCATCCTGTCGTCCCCTTCTCTTGTCTTCAATCTTTCCCAGCATCAGGGTCTTTTCCAGTGAGTCAGCCCTTCACATCAGGTGGCCAAAGTACTGGAGCTTCAGCATCAGTCCTTCCAGTGAATATTCAGGGTTGCTTTCCTTTAGGATTGACTGGTTTGACCTCCTTGCAGTCCAGGGGACTCTCAAGAATCTTCTCCAGCACAATTCGGAAGCATCAGTTCTTCAGCGCTCATTATGGTCCAACTCTCACATCCATACGTGACTACTAGAAAAACCATAGCTTTGACTAGATGGACCTTTATCAGGAAAAGAGATGCCTCTGCTCTTTGATACACTGTCTAGGTTTGTCCCTGATAGCTTAGCTGGTAGACAATCCACCTGCAATGGAGACCCCGGTTCGATTCCTGGGTTGGGAAGATCCCCTGGAGAAGGGAAAGGCTACCCACTCCAGTATTCTGGCCTGGAGAATTCCATGGACACTCCATGGGGTCACAAAGAGCCGGACACGACTGAGTGGCTTTCACTTTCACTTTTATTTTTCACTAGGTTTGTCACAGCTTTTCTTCCAAGGAACAATCGTGTTTTAATTTTATGGCTGCAGTCACTGCGTGGTGATTTTGGAGCCCAACAAAATAAAATCTGTCACTGCTCCCACTTTTCCCCCTTCAGCTTGCCATGAAATGATGGGACTGATGCCATGATTAAGATCAACATTTTTCGAATGTTGAGTTTGAAGCCAGCTTTTCATTCTCCTCTTTCAACCTCATCAAGAGGCTCTTTAGCTCCTCTTCACTTTCTGTCATTGCTACGGCCCAAGTTCAGTTCCCGGTTGGGGAACTGAGATCCCG